GATTTATCAAAGAAGGGGTTTGATAGGCATATTTACTTTCCACTCAATATAAAAGAACTTCTGGATTGGCCAAATTAAGCGTTGTCACATAGACAATAAAATTTGATTTCTCCTTTGAATCATTGTTTTGAAATAATCTCATAACGTCTAGTTCTAGAAACGATAGATAGTTCTATAAACATGACACAATGCTTTTTAGACAGGGAATATGTAATTCTGAGGAGCTTTTCTCAAGTGAAAAAACTGAGTTAATAATTGAGTATAATTAAGGTGGCCTAATAGCTACAGAAATAAGTCTAATTTTTATATGTAGAGTCCTTGTCTTAGAAAAAAAATGTACATTTAAAAATTTAGATAAAAGATTACCTCTTATGTATTAAAAGGAAATGGGTAATTTGTCAGGTCTATGCAGTATGATTTTTAAGAGTATGACTAGCATTTGAATTTTGATTTAATATTTGAAAAAAATTAGAGTGAACAGAATAAAAGGTGCATACTTATAATATATAATAAATATAATGAACAGACAAGTTAAGGCTGAAGTATTCTAAGAAAGAAAAAAAGAGGCGGGCTGTATTACCACAGAAAATGGAAGGGCAGGAACCGGAGGCCCAGATAATGCACACGGCTAGTTCGTCTGACTCCAGTGAAATGGTCAGTAAATGACATCACTGTGCCAACCACAAAGAAGAGCTCCAGGCCCTCTGAAAAACATTTTTCAAAGCCCCAAGGAAACCTAAGCAGTCTCTGCAAATTTTTTTTCCAGTTTATGAAAATTGGATTCCTATAAAAGAAAAATGGGCCATTTTTACTGCAACAAAAACTGATTTGTAAAAGCTGGAAGCAGTTTAAAAATACTCAACATGAGGTTCTTGTTAGTCTTGAAAAGTAAAAGTTATAATAAAAAAACGGTCTAAAAATATGGTACGAAGACATGGTAAAAAGGGGGAGAAAAGCTAGTCTTACGCCTATTATTTTTAATTAGCTTCAATAGCAAGTCCCACTTTACTTTCTAACACCAGTTCAGATATGGGGAGGGGAAGATTTACATCGGACCCTCTGGGATTGGCAACTCTGTAACTAATGGCTTGGAGCCCTAATGTATTTTGCATTACCCCTAAATGTCAGGAAATTCTGGCGCCAAAAGGTTCAAACTGATACTGACACATGTCTAAAACCCAAGATCCGCTGTCCAACTGCCAAGATCTATTTTATCAAACATCTAGTCTCTCTTGTAGAATAGGATAGATGAGTTGAACGGTTTTCAGTGTTTCCAATTAAACTGCCTTGCTATATTACAAAAATGTAGGCATCCAGATTAAGAAGGAGCCCCTGCTTTGGATTTTAAGAAAAACATTAATTTGACCTGTTTAAAGGATTCTCTAAATCTGGCGTAGTTTCCGCATTTTAACAGATTTGTCCATTACTAAACTTTGCCATTTTAGGAAGAAAGCAAAGAATTTTTCTTAAAACTAAAGAATTTTTTCCAAATTCTTTGCAAAGAATTTTTCTTAAAACAATTTTAAAAAACCTCTTATCATACAAATTAGAAAGTTATTCTTTACCCTGCAGGAACTTGGGGTCACCTACTTTACCTGAACCTGCGGAAACTGATGTTAAAAAACCACAAAGACTGAAAAGCCACACGCCCTGGCCGAAGGGCACAACACTGCACACTGCCGCTGCTTCACGTTCTCAAACCATCAGAAACGATGACAACGATAAAATTCACGTTTCATACACTAATTTTTTTACTATTCTTTTCCCAGGTAACTTGACAGTGCTCACTTACCAAAGACATGATAAAGAACAGAGTGGGGAAAGAATCTGAAGTCATCTGGATAATTTCCATGTTCAAAATAAAGCAATCTTAAAATAGATAACATTCCCCCTTTTTCAAAGTATTTAAAAATCAGCTTTCTAATATTCAAAATTCAATCAAGGCATTGTTTTTTTCATAGCTAACCTAAATTCTTCATGTTGTCCATTACGTCTGCTTATTCATATCTCCACAGTGAGGATGGAGAGAGTTAAGAGTTCAACACCTTCTGGTTACATTTCTTGAAAAAATTCCTATTTTGCTTAAAATCAGTTAAAATAAAAATTTTCAAAAGTATGATTTTAAGTCAATGTTATTTGATCTAACAGACTCTAAATTTATCTACTGGATATCAGAAACTGAAAGGTAGCCATTAGTTTCAAATTTCACATCTGGGACATTATGTGGCAAACTTTCGTGCCAAAATATGTGAATAATTATGCAGCAATTTAAAATACTTAAATCTTTGCAGAATTAAAAAATATGCCAGAGTTAAGATCTATGGTTTGTAACTATCAAAGAACACAGAAATCCTATTATAACTGAATCTCAACCAACCGAAAAAGAGTGAATAAAAGCCTGAATAAATGATTCCGGAGTAAAAAATGCAGGAAGAACGACTGTGAGTTTGGGCTACACTGTAGATTTTCTTTCTGTCTCTGCTGATCCAATTGAGAATCCCTTCTTATCTGATCTATTACCTACAAAGAAACTGAAGAAATTCATTGTAAATTGTTTCTTCTGGAAACAGAAAAAAGACAATGATACAGTTGCGTAATTTAAGGCCTGAAAAATTACAAAAGACAAGAGTCGAAAGACTTAACTTTCTCAGGGGAAGTTCTTTTTAAAGGGCAAACAATTCTCAAATCAAAACGATTATAATAAATGAGTATATCACTCTTTTGACTTGAAAATAGTCTACGGTAAGTTTTATTAACTAATCTTTTAAGCCAACATTACTGTGATGTGCCTTTTATGATATGAAAGAAGCTACCTAAATATTTTTACCCTTGTAAAGGAACTGAATTTATGAAGGTAAGAGACTCTTCCCAGTCGTTTATAAGAAATTATCAACAGAATTAAGGAATAAAATTGTGAAACCTTTGAATACGGCATGTAACTTAATCATCGAGTACAGCCATTTCTCAAAACACTTTCATTGTTTTATAAAATGACCATTTTTAAAAATCAGAAGTGAGAGATTTTCCTGAATTGAGCTCATAAGTTCTTTTTCTTTTTTTGTACGTGCAATGTTAATGAAATGTTCAGGTTCTTAACAATCACATAATTATATATAAAAACAAAAGTAAGTCTTCCTCAAATAAGTAATACACAATTAGTATCTGTGTGCCTTTATTAGACTGGCAGTACCTGATGGAGATAGAAACATAATGCTTCGTTCAAGGTGAAACATAAATGGCAGAACAATGAAGCTCATAAATGCCATTACCAAAAACCTTCTATGTAAATATTAGGATTGTAAAACCAAATCATTCCTTACTCTCTAGTTATGTCTTAGAAAACATCTGTCCAGTGAAGTGTCCCACAATGGAGTATAGTAGTTATGATGATTAAATAGAGCCTCTATTTAAATAATTACAGCTCACATAGACAGAAACACCAGAAGTAGTCAAAAGCCATTCGCTTTCTGGTGTGCGACCACGTTTAATTTTCACTTCCTAAGGCCAGGAGTTTCTTACCACGACAATTCAGTACACCAATAAAACGATGTCTGAAGCGCTATGATTTATTCACAGTCCTCTACAGAACACTGTGCTGCACCTACAGCTACCGTATTTCATGTAATACTACGTTTTCCCACTACGCTTTTAAACTCTGGGTCATGACCATCGATGAGTTGTGAAACCATCATAGTGGCTGCAATCTGTACTTCAAAACTAAAACCACAGAATAAAATGGACTATATCATGGTGCATTACAGGTAGTAAAAGTAATTACTGTTTAAGGAATTTGTGTTACATGTACACACACCCACACATATATACAAACAAGTGTGTGTGTGTGCACTGGGCTGCGATGTGAGAGGTATTTCTTAATGTGGTTGTAGCAAAGTCACTACAATATGCTGCGTTTCCTCCAAATTAGACATCATGTTTGAAAGAACATAAGCTTTAGAGACATAGAGACCTGAGTTCAACCTTTTTTCTGTACCATCTTACTTGTGTGAGTTAAATTAGTGTCTTGTGAGTTAAATTAGTTACTTAAATTAGTGTCTTGATTTCTTCATTTGTAAAATTCCTGTAATAGCTGCTTTAAATACCTGCTTTAAAACACTGCTACGCAGGTTAAAATAAATGTGACGAATATTTGTAAAATGGATTATATACAACAGATGATCAATAATGGTTACAAGAGTTATTATTGGATTAAATGGCTTATTAAAAGTGATCATTAAGGAGTTATAAAATATTAGCCATGATTGTACCCTTTCATCTAAAAAATACATAAACACATCCTCCAAACAGAAAATAGTTTATGCTGAAGAAAAGCAGAATTTTAGAAGAGGAAATTAAATAAATTAAAGAAGAAATAACTAGTCCTATTGGCTAATAGCTATTCTTCAGACTAGTTTAATGTGAAATTTCAACAGCTAGCCTAAATTAAAATATTACACTCTACACTTCTAGATAGGATATGAAGGAGAAAATATTGTTTACGCATTCTAGTACTATTTTAAAAATCAATTTTAGAACAATGCTGGCATGTCAAATTTTTTTCCTTAAATGTTTTATTTGAATGCCATCCACAGAGGAAAAGTCTTTAATCAAAGTATGAACTTTTTAAAACAGTAATGGCTGAATAATTGTTAAAATACATATCCTGTATTCTTATTTTAAATTATATTTTACTGGCTTTGGAAAACACTTAGGACACAATCTGGGTTCATTAATTTGGCAAAAGTACTGTCTCTTCCAACAGACAGCCTGTGTTTTCAAAGTGATGAGCATGTGTGCTTTTCAGACCTGTGATCTCCTTTTTTAACATAGAAAATGTGACTTCATAAACTAATTTAAAATCGAATGAGTATGTTCTTGAAAATATTGAGTATTTTGTACTCTTTAATGAAAAAAGATAGAAAACTGGGGAATAAAGAGATGTCTAGCTTTTCAAAATCAAAGGAATCACTATATATTAGATTTTTCTTGGAAAGACTGTTTACCTGCCAGGAAATGAATGCTGCCCGACTACGTCTCCATTCTGAAGGTGATAATCATTGAAGAAATCTGGACTTATGGCTCCTTCAGAGGCAATTAATCCATCTAGGAAAAAGGGAAATAGTAACTAGTAAAACATATTTGCAGGAAATAAAAAAGAAACTATTCTATCAAGCAATACAACAGAAGATAACCTGCATATTTAATCTGGTAAGACAAATGCTAGCATGACTTGGGAGTGTGAACAGAAGACCACACAGGCTAAGTGTTCCCCTACAGCAAGGCAGCACGACGAATGAACAAATGTTCAGCTGAGCACCTACTATCTAGCAGCACTCTACTAGGACAGAGGTTAGTAAGACAACCTCTGCCTTCAAGGGGCTTAGAGTCTTGTGAAGACAGAAAAGGACAGGCGTGAGGTGAGGTAGGGAGGAACAGTATGGATGGTCCAGGCAACGGAAACAGGATGAATAAAGACATGGAGAAATGGGGTCAGTAAAGAGCCAAACTCTAGTACGTCTCATACTTTATATGCAGACAGCTTCATTCGTATGACATGGTTAGGGAATTAGATATTTCAAATAAGTGAATCTCTAAATAAGCAATGCTTGACAAACCTTTAAACACACAAATGTGTTAGAAATCTTTATAAATATATTTTACACACCTTGTTTTTAAAAAGTGTAGTGAATGTAATTTAAATACTTCTTGACCCAACCTTCATTAGAAGCATCAATTATTACATAGTCGTGCTGTAGGTTATCAGATACATCTGACTACCTATGCTAAGTGTCTCTACACCAATATGCTTTTAAGTTCTTTCAAGTTCCTTATAAAGTGCTTCTTTTCCTAAATCGAAGTCTTTATTACTTCTGCCTGACTGTAGAGGAATACTATTTTCTCGTTTGCTCCAAAGTCCAGATAACCTGTTTTTGATAAAATCACGAGTAAGTTAACAATAAGAAGGACTTGAGGAAAAGCCCTAAACGAAGGCTGCAGAGCCATCCTGCGTGCAGAACAAACATATACTTCAATCTGTGGCTCTTCCAATAACTATTCAGAAAGCCCTGAGGACTTTGAAGTGTCCTGTTTTGAAAGTATTCTGGGTTGTTAAGTGACCTCCGGATAAATACTGACTAGGTCATACCCACAACATCATTTATAAATCTGGTGCATAGTAAGCAAATTATTCATTCACCAGATGACCATTTTACATCTACCATATGCGTAATAATACTTTCCTAGGTCCCATGAGAAATACAAAAAATACAAGACATAATTTCTGTTTTCTAGAATTTCAGGTTAAGTAAAATATAAGACAAACACTTAAGATACAATTAAATAATACATTTCATTAATAAATGATATGCAACAGGAATAAACATGGTATGTACCAAAATGAGCGCTAGAGACAGAAAAAGGGGGGTAGAAACACCCTGCTTGGGGAGGGAGGTTGGCAGAGGTGCAACTGACTTGTCTTGAAAGGTAAGTATTTAACAACAAAACTTATTTAAAGAGTAAAGGTATTAAAAATTGAGCGAATGGAAAAAAGCAATACCGTCAGCAAATGAGTAAGTGAGATGATCTGTATTTCCGTAAGACTCCTACACTACTCATTTGCTGCATATATATATCCGTTTGTTACATATCATGTACAAAGGACTTACACTACTATTTAATTGTCGAATTGTCAGTGAATACCTTTAGTATTTGTCTTATTACTTCAGTAAATTTAAAATACTTAAGAGGTAGCTTAAAAGAGTCTAATATTTAGACTAGTTTCTATGTCCTCTAAAAGTTTAAGATTCTATAAATCAAAGACCAGCTAAACATTAAAAAGTTACAAAGAAAATGAAATTGTGGGAAATGCCAACACACTACAGAGAGTTGACCAGCTTAAAAAAAAAAAATTAATTTTATATGAATCTAACACTTTGTGAAAATCTGGCTAAAGTAACGAGGTTAAGACCACAAAAATCAACAAGCTCCTCTGTTAAATTAAAACCAAATAAGTGAGGATCAGGGTTTAAGAAATATGGCAGTTTTAGAGGAACAAAGCGAAGTAAAATGCCAAAAGAAAAATGTACACCACACTTTGAAAATGAATTCAAAGATATTCGCCATGCCAGTAGAATAAAATATTCTAACACCCAGAAATACTTTATATATAAAGACAACTAAATTAAATGACACCTGAATTATATTTTAAAAGTTTATATCACATGAAACATGTCCTAGGAAAGTGAGCCAGATTAGGAAGAAATTATATAAAAAACTCTTGTCAAATTCTCAACATCTTCAGTTTGATTCAGAGCTCCCATCATCTCCAAAGGGAAAAATGAGGAGGAAAAGGACAAATGGAATAGAGAGAGGGAACTACAGACTGGGAGCTCATCAAATAGAGATCAAACTAAGTATTTCTGAGCTTAAAGATTCAGCCAGAAATTTTATAAACCCCAAATACAACTAGTTTAACAATGTTATAAGCCTGATATTATGCGAGTAAAGAGAAAATTTATACTCGTGAACTTAATTTTTATTAATCCTGGGACACTGCAATTCACTCTGTAAACTACAGCTTCTACGACACCCTTTAGTGGCTTGACAAAATTTAGGCAACTCTGACATATGAGCAACCTTTCTTCACTAGAATGAGATATAAAAGTTAAATTACACCTTAAATTAAATCCTCAAGTCAAGGACCCCAACTTCTTTGGAACTATCTGTTTCTCAGCATTCTGCATCCAAAATTAATTCTTTTATAGAAATAATAAAAAGGAATCACATGTTCTGCATTACGAACTCCAGATAAATCTAGGAGTGTCCTTCTCAGGCTCCTGGTCTAACCTTATGGTTTCAAAGATGGCAACAAGGAACCAAAGCATTTCATGCACCATCTAAACAATCAGAAAGCAAACAGGACAGAGATGATGTACACCAGAGCACTCGGTAGAGCATCACGTACATTATTAATTATATGAAGCCTTGATACCAGGGTTATATATCACACACCTTTCTCAGGTGTTCCAAGTAATGATGATAAATATGCTTACGAGTAGAATGGGGTACATAGTAGATCAAGGATGAAATCAAAGCAAATTTATTGTTAGCACAGGTAATTTATGACTTGTGATTTCTAAAAGTCAAAAAACTGGCTTATACTCATTGTAAATAAAAGTAAAATGTGAAAAAATGATTCCTTCTTACACATTGTTGCTGAAATAAACTTTGTTTTTTAAAAGTCAATGGAAACATAACTAGCTAACAGTGAAATTGTGATTGTGTGGGAGAAAATAGATATCAATAATGAAGAAAACGAAAAAAGAAATGACGAAAATAGGTAGTAAATCACAGCTTATTTGGCTGTGCCTGATAAAACACACCAGAAAAACACAAAGGTAAATGAAAACTGTTGTTTTACAATGATTCTAAAGACAGAAACAAGCCATAGTCCAGACATATATTTATTTACATGTTAAATGCTAAGAATAAGATTCACCACAATTGATGAGGAATGATCAAAAAGGGAAAAGTCATTTAGAAGTGTACAGTATCAACACAGCTTTGTAAGTTATAATGTACTTTCTCCGCTGGTAAAAGTACTAAAACAAACAGCATGAAAGAAAGAGAAATTAATCAGTGGTTATAATCCAATAGGTTCGGACTCTAGAGAAACAACACTGTAACTAAAGGGGATGCTCGGTTCCTACTCCATAAGACGATGCTAAGATCCTTTCTAAAAAGAAAAGCAAGAAACAGACACATTCTGACATACTTAACTGTCGGAAAATATAGGAGGCCATTCTAATGACTAAGAAGCAGCCGATGCTATTTCATTTTAAAGCAGAAGGAGACCCAGGGACTCCTGGGCCGTTCGCTTAACCTCTGTGGCTGAAGCTGCTTTGATCGGAAGCAACCTAAAGTTTCATGGAGGCCAGGGGCTGAAATAAGATGTCTCTTGCATTCGAACAAATCTGCAGTATTAAAAATTCCTCTTGGAGTTTCTGACGACACAACTGCACACTGTGAAAGAGGCTGGCACTATCTAGATTTCATAGTATATGTTAAGAGATACTATAGAGATTCATCTAATAGATGAACTATTCATGAAAAATGAACTAGGTAAAATAATTATCTAAAAAAATAGATGGCTTGATATGAGAACTATATCTTTAAACTCATAGCAATGAAATCTCCACAGTCAACTATCTACCGTATCGCCAGGCTACAGGTATTAAAAAACAACTATGATGATATCTAATGATAATACTTCACCCCCAAATCCTTAAAATTATATTTTTTTCCATCAGTGGTAGTTGTTTTGAAATTTTGAAGTTTTATATATAAAAAAATATATAATTTAGAATTATACAAAGCACGTTATAATTATAAAATATCTCACAGAAAAATGTTTATGATTTTCATTTTAAGAGGTTAATTTAAGTGAATTAATTCTGGAAATGTGGTATAACTTTTTAGAAATCTATTCTAAAACTCTAATTGCATTAAAACAACAAAGTTGACTATTGCGGTAGTTAAAAGTTTTACTCAGGTTTGCAGACTGGGAATTGATTCACACTGAAAAACAGCTATCAGTCTTCAAAGCAAGAAACCTGATTCCAAGAAATCCTGATTTCTATCAACAAAAAAATTCATATCATATATATTTTACATCATTGTACTTCATGAATATCTGAATATGTATGGAACAGCTGCTTGCCATTACTGAACTGAGACATTCTGGTTGGTTGAAATTAATGATCTCCACCATCTGGTTTGAAACACAAAACGGTATTTCATAACTACTGTAAAGTTCAGTTAGGAAGAAATCTATTTAATATCAAAGTAAAGTATCAATTTTCTGGGATTCAAGTATCTATATCAAATATAAAAATAATGCAGTGTTTATGGGCAATTTGCACGATACACAATTATGAAAACTCATGAATCAAACATAGTAGGAAAAAAGTGAGCTATTAATTCAGATATAATTACTTTAATGCTTTTCATTTAAAACCTACTGCAGATCTCAACTAGAAATCCTTTCCTTCCTGTCGTCAACTAAATGACTTCAATGAAGTAATATCAATATTGGCATCAGCGCAACACATAAAAAGCCAAAATACTCAAAACCTTACCAATCTTTGTGCCAAACTCATCCCTGGAAAGAGGCAGTTAGGCAGAATCAACAAGGTTATAATATATGTAAGATTTATGCAAAAATTAAATTTTACCTTGAAAACACTAGCAGAGTTTAGAAGGAAAAAATTAAAACTATTGCTATAAAATATCTAAATCATCCCAACCAAATAGAGTTTACTACTTTGAAACTAAACCAAAACAATAGCAAAATTAGACTTAAAATATATGGAAAACAAAACATAAATTAGTAAATTATACATTTAAATAAATGAAGAATAGTGAAAAATGAAAATTACATTTTCCAACAGAAGTCAGAAATCTTGAAGATGTCACTTTAAGTTCTATATCCTAGAATGTAAGAAACTAAGAGCAATTAATCTTCCTGGCTACAGCCCTTTTTATGGACATCACATCAAAGACAAACAGGAAAAAATCGCAGTGACTGAACAGGTCTGCTTGGTATGGACTGATGTTGCGTCTGAAACCTCCATCCAGCACAAGAGCATCCATGTGCTGAAAGAAGTGTCTGTGAAGCTTGGGAATGAGCAAGGCTGGCAGACTGAAATCCCAACTTGCAGCTCGCAGACAAACGGTTTAGTTTTGCGTTGACTGTGGTCTTACCCGAGTTGTAGAAAAGGTCGGGTCTTTCGAGAATGTCTCCTTCGTGGATGTATGGCTCAATTCGGTCATCGCCGTACAAGTACTGCTCGCTCTCATCCATCTGACGACTCTCTACCATCTCCAACCACTGAGAGTTGTGCCAGCGAAACTTTTCACTCTGAATTTTCTTAGCCCATTCTTCATCATATTCCTATTAAAAACAAACGATCAACTATTATCACATAAGCTTAGGCAGGAACTCCCTTGGTGCTCAGAAAACAGTGCTTTCACCTCGTGGGAAGAGAATGGGGGTGCTTCACTTGGCTCAGAGGATACATTAATGATACCTGTTCAGAATTATTTTGTACAGCATCAGTAAAAATCAATTAAATACATATATTAAAGACATCTGTTAGGTTTACCAATCGCCGATGGCAATGGCAAAAACTGGAAAAGTTTAAATTTCACAAGTTTTTTAATTACTAGAACATGGGTAAGCAATCAGTCTTCAGTCCTGTGGCTATAATTACTTGTGACATTAATGACAGGTGGTGAAGCATTAAAATTCATCTTTTGCTGTATCTTTTTGTTTAGATAATTTTCAGCAGCAAAAAAAGCACTAGTAAAGTTTTTCTCCTAACTACTGAAATGGTTACTACAGAAAACAAGTAGCAGATTTTAACTTAATTTTGTCTTAAGCACAAAATAATAATGTTATCTTATTTGGTCATAATTGTTTCTTTAAATGTCTATCTCCTGCTTCAACCCTGAAGTCCTAAGGAGCAAGATGGTGGCTTACTCACTGCTCCATCTGTAATACCTGTTCACATGGAAAATCCTTAGTGAATGTTTCTGAAGGAAAACAGGCCAATTATTATAAACTACACCTGAATCTATCCAGCTTCCCACTTTTCCCACAGGTTATGGCTATGTCTGACTAGTGTATTCACTTAATTAATGGACCATACTACTGATTTCATAGATGAAAAAAAAAAATGCTTCAGGTATTTCTTATCCTAATCTTAGGGTTCTTAGTTTTAAATTCCTCTGTCAATATCTTTAACACTTTTGGTTATAGTTATCTAAAAAGTTGGAAAGGTGCCAGCTAATAGTACTGTCCTCCAACAGTCAGGATGCTCATGATCATGGACCAAATACACACTTTAGTCAAATAGTTGAGCAGTTTCCATACAGATTGATGCTCAAGTCAAAATCTGTCATCACAGAATGAGTTTCTGGGATGTAAGAATAAGTCTGAAATTTTACAATTATTATCTTGTTAAATTTTAAGTTTCACGTTATCAATAATTCTCTTAGCAGTGTCAGCTGTCAAATTGTGTATTCTAACTGCACATCTTTGAAAATATATAGATGCTCCATTTCAGCTGAGGTTAGTGGAGGCAGAATATATTTTTTGGCTATGGTACTGCTAATGACAATTTGCCACCAAATTATTAAGCTTTCCTTCTTTCGAATAGTTATCTATTAACATCCCTATTAGTTGTCTCTTTCTTAATTATTTAAACTTAAATTACATAAAAGCAGAACTATCATAAGTATTATTGTATTTTACTTTAAAATAATAAACATTTATTAATTCAACTATTATAATTTTTAAATCAGGGGTCCCCCTATTAGAAGTGGCCAGATAATTCAAGAACACTGAAGTAACCTTGGGCAGCAATGGGGAAAGGCAATGAAAGAGAGGACAGATGAACATTTGGCAGGATAAGTGGAGAATGTATTCTTTAGTGAACGAGAATATAACAACCAACCTCCTAGGTCAACTTTCGGCACTAAGATTCTATGAAGGGGTTGAACTGTTGACCAATGAATGATATGGGAGGAAGCAGCTTCTGATCTGCTAAGTATAGTACACTGCACATTATATTCTCAATCAGCTCCTCTCTGACACGGCCACACATGGGTGTCAGG